ACGTTTGTTATTTACTCCAAATATGCCACCTGTAATAAAAGTTGACAAACTAAAGAATAAATACAAATGAAATCGTAAACGAGATTTAAAATAGTTTCAATGAACTTTATGATGTCCGAAATACTATTCACATGCTCTCATCATCCATGTACATGTATACTTTGGGAAAACACAATCTGATTAGTAAAATAGGTTACCAGTTATTCTCACTGAACTGTTATGGAATCTATTTCGTTTAGAGAATGAACGCTCATATTTCTCTTCCTTTGGAACCCCCAATGAATAAACTCGATGACATAAATGATATGAAAATTTAGTTACTGCTCGATTCTAATGGCTCAGATTGTAAATTTCAGGATTGATGCTTTGAACATAGATGGTTGGAGCTCAGTATTTAGTTAGGTTTTCACGAGACTACATTCAAAATCACTTTATTTACTAGGTTTGATAAATGAAAACTAAATAATGAACAGTTTTTGAAACTCATTTTAGAAAGTCCAGTAGGCAAACATCAGTCAACAAACGGCTTTTGCTACTGAAGGGAAGGAAAATTAATTCTGAATAATGTATTATACATTTTGATTGTCTTTATATGGGCATAATAAAAAGTTTAAATCATACTAATCCCCCTTAATAATTCAGTTTATCGGTTAAAATGAAGTGAATTATTATATTTGTTTTAAAAAAAAATTATTCTGAACGGATGAGAATATGGATTGCGAATATTGATTACGTCATCGCCGATAGGAGTGGAAATAATCGAAGGACACCAATGATGATCAGTCTCTTTTCTCCATAAACTTTATTTCCTCTATATGTGTACACACTCACACACTCAAATATATGTATGTATAATCCAAAATCAACAGAAAATTCATTTCTAAGCGAATTAAGTGTTTAGATTATCACTTCATTTGAAGAATTTAATAACTTCCTGTTCACATAATAATCGTTTTTTTATGTGGATTATAGTCATTGTTGAAAATAAATACTGAAGGGTTGATCTAAAATCTAAACGGTTGTTGCTTTAGTTGTTACGTAATCATTTTATATGGTACATTCACTTTTTCAGGCTTTATGCATCATAAACATATTCAAACCACTAAAATAAAGAAAGTATGGGTTGGCATCCTAGAGTTAGTTTTCACTATTGACAACTAAAATGGCTTTACAATCTAGACAAAGTTGAAAGCGGAAAGTGAAATTCAACCAAGTGGGACAGTGATAAAGTATTGTTTATAATGTAAGAATAATTTACTTATCCATCAACAAACTATGACTGAAAAGATATCTACGATATGAAGTCATGACTATTATAAGAATACCTCAATAATGGTGGAGAAAATTTGTAGCTCAGGTGGATGATTGTGGTGGTGTTTCGTTCTCTGAACTAGATGTTTTGGTTTTGGAGCTTTCATTGTTCTTCTGAACAACATCATCAGCACAAGCTTCAGATAGAAGTAAAGTATGTGAATTTCTCCATGTATGACCCGTAGCTTGTTCTGTTAACTTCGATCTTGAGTGGCTGTCATTTACCTTAAACCTGTCGTTGTTTGCAAATTTATTATAATTGTATCCTAGTTTTATCTGTTTCTTGATTCTATGTTCTCATATTTTACCTTTAATTTTACCTACTCCTGTCATCTTCAATGGACCGTAGGCCACCGACCAGCAGTCTCCAACCTACTGTGTCCTGGGCCTTTTCCAGTTATATTCAATTTTTGTTCATTCTTTTCATGTCTTTCTCCGATTCTGGGCGTGATGTGTTCCTTGGCTCTCCTGTTTTCCGTCGGCTTTGAGAATTGCAGGTGAGGGATTGTCTTGTGGAGCAGTTGGGTGCTTTTCGCAGTGTGTCCCATCCACTTCCACCGCTTCTTCCCGACTTCATCCTCCGCTGGGATCTGGTTTGTTCTCTCATACAGTAGGTTGTTGCTGATGGTGTCTGACCAACGAATCCGAGGTATTTTGGGTAGAAAACTGTTAATGAATACTTGAATCTTTTGGATGATGGCTTTGGTAGTTTTCTAAGTTCTGTCTTGACATTTGTATTGGAAATTCTGACTTTGGTGTTTGTTGATAGTTCTTCTGAGTTCCAGATATCGTCCAACTTTAAAAATGCTGTCGTTGCTTTGCCAATCGACGCCTTCACACCTAAATCAAACCCACCTCGCTCATCAGTGGTGCTACCCGGATATGAAAGTGTTTTCACATCCTCCAAAGCCGCACCATCAACTGTGATTTGGTTGGTGTATTTTATGTTGTATCAGAAAATCTTGCTCTTCCCTCTATTTATATTGAGACCTATTGCTGCTAAAGATGCTGCTACACTGCTCATCTTCTCTTGCACTTTTTGTTTCCAGTTCATCTGCAAGGTCTAAATTCTCCAGCTACGTCGTCATGGCCACTGGATCCCATGCTTTCCTTAAGATGTTGACATCTTGACAATCGAGTCAATCACTAATGTTTGCCTGTGATTTTTCTTGTTGGTTGATAAATTGGGTGCTGATGATGTTGTTCAGAAGAACTTGGAAAGCTCCACAATCAAAACATCTAGCTTAGGGAACAAAACTCCACCACAATAAATCAGTAATATTATATTTCACACATTGCTTACAATCAACAGAAAAGTCAAGAGTATTACCTTCTTCCGCTAAATGTAGTATGCTCACTTTATAATTGGATCATTACTATACATAGTTCATTGTGATATGAAATGTTAGAAATATATATAATGTTAGAACATTTGTATACTCCACGTAAATATTCCTTCAGTTATATTACAGTTTCTTGTTCTCATGCTCAATATCCATAGAAATTTGCTGGGTAAGGGATAATCCCTGATAATTAATGCCCTCGTAATATAACCTGATTAATTTTCAATGTATTAATATGTTTTGAATTGTTTCCAATTGTGGATTGTCTAACCGTATAATCATAGATTATCTAAGTAAAATGACTAACCATTCTATTTGTTAATCTATTGCTGTCATTGCTTTTTCAAACAAATAGGACGTATTAAAGTAAAACCTTATTTCCAAATATATATAATAAAATATTCACTGTCCTAAAGCTTCCTCACCGGTTTGCATGCAAGAAAGAAATTATCAGTCAATGATGAAAGGTTTCTTACCAGAAACTGTTATCAAAATTTATTGGCAGATTACGTCGGTATGCATCATTCTAAATGAGCAGTTGAATGCAGTTAGATAAGAACACGAAATCTTTAACTGTAAAGCAAATGTCCGACAGAATCTTCTGTGAATGTAACCAAGTACACGCAAATATTAATAAGCTCTCTGTTCAATTACTGATTGACAGTAATACGTGAAACACTGTTTAATTTTACTGAGTTCAACGTTGATCTGTAGAACTGAAGTTTTATGGTTCTATTTTAATTTGGTATTGTTCGCGAGTTACCTAAAAGATAAATAGCGCATGTTAGTTTTAAGACCGTACTTTTCTACGCCCAATTTTTCCTCATTAGTGACCAGTATATATTCAAAAATAATTTTCATAAGAAATGTCTGTGAAGACAATATTTGTTTAGAAACACTCAGTAATTCTGTTGCTAGGAAACGGGTACTAGGTAAGTATGGCAGGTCAATAGATGAAGTATTGAAACGTCATCAGTTGAGGTGGTTGACAAACGTGTTACGAATGCCCAACCACCGACTGCCTCGACAAGCTATGTTTTGTGGTGTAGGCTTAGGCTGGAAGAAAGCTAGGGGCAGCCAGACCAAAACATGGCAGAAATCCACGAAATCACTGACAAATGGACTGAGTCATGTCGGTAGGTGTCGACTATCTGGTTGGAGTCCGCGAGACGAAAGTCATCAATGGTTAGAGACGTTGATTGACATGGCTCAGAATCGTTTGAAATGGCGCAGATGCATCCACTCTTTGTGTTATCTCAAATCCTAATCTTCTGGATTCTTCAACATCTCTAGGTTTCTCTTTCTAACCTGATCTCACTAAATTATACTTCTTGAATAATATCTTCAAACCCTAATCTTCTCCATTAGCAGTAATTCTTCTACCATCTCTACCACTATGGGATTTGAACTGCCAATCGCCTCTCTGTGCTAACCTGCCATTGTAACCTGAACTGATGTACGTACTTACAAAGTTTTACGTTGTAACAGACTGACTGACTGCCAAGCACTCAGTAATACGTATTTTTTATTTTGTGACAATCCAAGGTTATTTCACATCGAATAACTATTTGTGCTCTGTTTTGAATTGACAATACCTCACCATGATGTTTCACAGCAAGTGTGTCAAAAGATCGAAATACATTGTTTAGCATTATTGTTAATATTTTTACCTCAAAAAGACGTTTGATGGATTTTGAAAGTTATTCAAACTTCAAATACCACGGCAAAACATTATTCTCTTAAGCATACAGATCTATTTCTCTAGATATCTAGATGTCTGATATCTGGATATCAGTTCATTATTACAGTGAGAATAACTTGTTGAACTTTATTGCCTATCATTTTTCACCTGCCTGTATGAAGGTACTTTTTATAAATGCTAAAATATTTCGAGAGCTATCTACAATATTAATCGGATCATATAAGTTGCAACAATTTCTGAACCCATAAAGGAACTATACGAAACTTCAAGCTCTGTAAAAACCTCGACAGATTTATTCTGATGAAAGTTTAAAAATCGTTAACAATAAGTTTTCTAGTATTTATTAGTATTTTTTTTATAGAAAAAATAAGCGGGTTTAATTATTTTAAAAAAAAGAAACTGACTCTGTTCGTTGAGAAAAAGACTGTATGTACGATATGCGGAATTAGTGGGAAAAAAAAATTGAAAAAATGTTGCTTTACATAGTACTGTTGTACGTTTTCTGAGTAAGAAAGCTTACTGGATAGTAAGATAAAATAGTTACGACTCTATGGTACAAAAATGATAAAGAAATGAAAGTATATGGTTATTATATTGTGTCCTCTAAGTTAGAATTTCTGCTTAAAAGCGATGGTGAAATGAAATTATGGTTGTGTTGAACATGGTGATATGCAAGACCGACTACAGTTTTCTTCTAGAGAATTTTTCATATTCGAAGCTTGATTGTTGTCATCTGATACAGATAAAATATTTTGAAATTTTTCTTTATATCTGATTAGTTGACGTCGTAGTCTTGGTAAACAGTTACTGTTAGGGTGATTGTTTAATGTATGTTGTAACATATCATATAATTTTGGACATGAGTAACCACATGTTTCACAAACACGTACTATTTCACGACGTTGATTTGGTGAATAATTCAGCTGAATCCTGTGTATTTTACGTCGATGACCTTCTAATGAACAACGCTGACTAAATGATCGTCCGCATTCTGGACAAACATATGGGCGTACAACTATAATTATTTTTAGAAACGAATATGAAAAAAACAAAATGTCGTAATGTTGTTTACTTGGGCTAGAATATAATTCGACAAACATTAATAAAAATTCATGCTCAACTTAGTAAAATGTACTCAGAATTAACACTTCTCAACAATAAACCAAAATAATCCTTTTCATTCTCAAAAGTGCATTTTCTGGAAGAGTATCACGAAATATGTCTCATTGTGTATTTAAACAGAAAAAGCACTCATCAGTCTTAGCTTATCACTAATTTCTCTGTTTACAAGAAAAGATTAGAAGGTACTGCGATTATAAATCACTTATCAAACAGCATAATGACGATTATTGAGACTGAACTTAAATTCAACCCGTTTGGATTTTGAAATATTATTTAAAATGTAGCAATTTTGATCCGAAAAAAAATTCCAATCAGTAATTAAATAAATTTAAGATATGTGTATGCGTAATTTACGTTAAGAGGATATAAGCCCATATATATCAGGTTAATAATTCAGTATTTACATTAAAGATTCAACTTACGTGTATGTTTGCGTGTGTGACGTTTCATATCGTATTTATCGTTAAAACCTTTCAGGCACTTAACACACAAGTTAAATTTGCTTGCACTATGTGATAATAAGTGTTGTTGCATTGGTCTTAAACGTCGGGTTGTACGGTTGCATCCTTTGCATAAATATGTACTGTTATCGAGTTTGACACCTGATTTTGAAGAGGAATTAAATAAAACGTAGACATTATAATGGGAGCAAATTGTACATATGATGCTTATTATTGTGAATTACATTGTGAACAAAGAAATACAGTGTAAGGTTTCTTTTTACTTCTAGCAACATAGTAAAAAAAAATGAAGTTCTGTGATTACTTAATGATGGCACTTTCATTTTCATAGTAAACCATTGGATCATTACGTGATGTGGCCTTTTAGCGGGGAGGACTTTTGAAGTTATAACAGTAACCTCATTACATCACGTTTATTTCACTGAAAACCTGAACATTCGAAGGTACTGAAACAATTAAAACTTCGATGAACAATACTTTTTATTAAAAAAAAAAGTGATTTAGTCCTTAATCTCTTCTTTAAATAAAGAACATAAAACAGAATTATAGATCGAGACAATTAAAAAAAAACAAATTAGACTTCTTATCTCAAACATGAAAAGTTATTTAATAATAATTATTATAATAATAATAATATTTTCAGTGCCATTAAAAACACAAAATTTAATATTAATTAATAAGTTTCCCATGCATACTTTTTTTGATGGATTTTCCTTTTCATCTTGTAAATAATTGATAAAATAATCTCACAGCATGTGATATTACTGACAGTGGTGAAAAAATAGCTAGCTGTTTTATAATAAGCACAATTGTGAATAGATTATTTGTGATGGTATTGAGATAGCGAATTCTCAACTAACAATGTCTTCTTTTAGCCTCAGGGTTGGTTACTAGCACCTTAATATTCGTCTGAACATGAAGTAGATTAGGCAAATAATGTTGAAAGAATTTTATCGGATCTCTTGGTTTTTGTTCTTCGCATTTTATGCCTAACTGAATAACTACTGGTCGACTTCAAAATTTCATTTGTATTCACTAAAAAAAAACTTAAACTAACTTTTTATCCAAAGCAATTATGTTTCACTAGTCAAAAATATTATTTAAAATACGTTTTGAATTGAACACTTACCAATTTTGTATTCATTATTAGAATAATCTCCAATTTTAAGAGAGAGTTTGTTTAATATAGTGAATCGTATTGACTATTCTAATCAGTTACATAATATTATCAGTGAAGAATTATAGTCGCACAGTTGTAAAACAACGAAGCAAGTAGAATGATAATAATAAATACTGAAAGACAATAACCTCGTTAATCGTTTTAGATTATAGAAGACTTTGTTTAAACATTTACCACTGAATTATTCACAAAATCAAGTTTATCCAGCTGATCATTATGGAAATGTAATGATATTGTTGCATGTTTCAATCAACCTAGGAAAAATCAACGATCGCAAGCTTTACCAGAATATTAAAGTGACTACGTTAACACCGAAAAGCAACTGATTCATCTACTACTCTTCAGCAACGTTCTCAGTTCAGAAAAAAAACACATCAAAGTAAATGGGATGTCTTTTGCAACACAAACCGACTTGATATCAATAAACCGTTGATTATTATTGGCTAACAATAAATGTATATTCTTAGAAGATATTTTAATAGTTTGAAGCTGTTAACCCACATGCTTGCTGTTACCTAACTATATCATGTAGATACTAAGTTCGATTAGGTAGGTTTTGCGCAATGTTTTTCTATTACTGTCCTAAGATGGTTGCTTTAATATATTATCAAATGACTATCGCTTCACTTCAATTAATTGTCAATTGAACAAAAATTATTAGAATGTGTTATTCTCTGTTGAGTAAAATCAAATTACGCTTGATCTGATAAGTAGTAATTTTTTTTTACCAATTGCCATTGATAAAAATGCTTAGATAAGTTGTTGTGAATGTCAGAATTATAATAATAGAAGTCACTTTAGGAAAACATCAAATAGAGTGATCTCTGTTAAAAATGCTGTTGAACGACGTTGGATCGAAACAATTTTGAAAATCCCTTAGCTAAATCTTACATGTACAAGGAGATAAAGAAATATTGTAGAAAAGCATAGTGTTTATTACAACCGAATTCCCTCGAAAAATAAATCTTGTATGATTGAATATCGCACCGATAATCAAACAAAACCAAAATGAATGCAGATTACCATTGTTATCTAGTTTTATTATTATCATTAAAATCACCTCCATAATTTGAAGAATAGCAAGTTATTTTACAAGAATTCGTTTAATTATGACCGATTTTCAAATAAAAGAATACCAAATACCTTATTTCTTTTGTTATTCAGTCCCATCAATTGTAAGTATGTATTAACACTATTCTCTCAACCAAATAAAAATTCAGTGACAAATTTACTTGACACATTAAGCTCTATCATCAGAGTAATCTTTCATCAATGTAAGTAGTCCATAGCATTTCATAACATTACACTATATATATATATATATATATATATATATATATATATATATATATCCCACTTCTTTTGATTGCCTCATTTTTTAAAGATCGGAAATGTAAGTTCGGATGGATCTTTAAACTTAATTATTATGACTCCGTTTATTATCTCAAACCAATAGCAAAACAGTTATTCCCGTTTTGAAAAACGTGCTTACATAGTAGTGAAGTTAAATGCATCAGTTGAGTTTTTCGATCAATAGCAAATGGATTACGTATTGCAGCTCCATCATTGACATATTTCAAACATGGGTCATTCCGTTCGAGCATGGCCTTCACATATTGAGAAGAAAAAAATAAACAGTTAGTGGAAACTGAGTTAGAATATTTTAATGTTTAAAACATGGTTTAATATGTACACTTAAAATCTACCTCCTTGTGAGATCATGAACTGTTAATCGATGAGGTTTGTCAAATAGTACGTTTGCCTAGCCAGATAAATTCTTCAGCATGTGTACCAAAGTCTTTCACATCATCTCAACTATATGAGCTAACAAATCATTCAACTATAAGATGTACTTTGACAAAATACTGCTGTCCAACTGGCGATTACATTGCTGTTTCTACAACCCATAGAAATGAATCAAGCGTGTGTAGATTTTTGAAGCACTGACAGAGTTGAAAAATTGCTATAGTGTGGTTAATAACCACTGATACATTCTATCTTTCCGCTGTTGTATATCGGAAGCTCCTATGTGTGGATATGTTTAACTATTTAGAGGATTAATTTCGCCTCACTATTTTAAACAATTTTACTAGTGGTTATTCAGTTTAATAAGATTATTGATCACATTTTACTATTAAATAAATAGTTTTCAATTTATAGAGAATATATTTTAACAAGCGTGCATTATTTCTAAAACCAGAAAACTGTTCTGAGATAACAGTAAGACTTCATGGCACTTTAAATATAGACCAAACTAAGTACTTGAAGTTATTGAAACCTAAAATCCCCCCTTGCTTCATCAAAACAAATTATATATGTTTATTGTTCATTAGTTCTTATGTCGAACGATACATTGTTCTCATTTTCCAAACTTTTTCGGTCGTAATCATATTCATAAGATCATGGATAAAAAGTACCACTCAAGTTTAACGATTTAAAAAAATTATCTAAGCAAATTGCTTTACCTTTACTTTTATTTTACTATCAGATGGTTCAGGATAATAAAATATGATCGGCATTTTCCCCACATCACAGGTTTTACCACGTTGTTTAGCTATCAAATCGTCGCTTGAGAGCGATGAACCATGCAAGTCGTAAGTATTCTTCATTGATTGTTTCATACATTCCGTTTGTTTAACATTGTCATACACGGGAGAGTGTTTTGCTTTTTTTACTGATAATTGTTCATAGGTGAGATTGTTAGTTATGCTGTACATCGGTGTAATAGGATTCGGTTTTCCTGTCTGTTGTTTAACCGGAAATTTTATAGTATTCGAATTATTTAAAGACAGTGTCGTCGAAACCGGTGCTGTAGATTGTATGGGCTGTGTAATGTCTATTAGTTGTGATGGTGTAATCGAACTCTTTATGTGAGTTCTTTGTGAATTCAATAGTAGTGGATTCATTGTTTGTAAATGATCCATTAGAAATTGATCGAAAGAAAAATTTGAAGAGTTTGCTTGATCGATTATCTTCATATTAGTGAAGTTACTTTTCATGTTACTACCAAATGTATTACTATCTGTAGTATTGACAGTTTCAGGAAATGCTTTAAATTGATCTGTTACTTCTAGTAAGGATTGAATGTTGAATGAGTTGCCTGGTTGTTTGCTAGTATATGAACGTTTATTCCGATGTATCATTTCATCAGATAAAAGAGTATTGGTGAATATTTCACATTCTACTTTGGTGTCTGTGGTAAAGATCAAAGATTTATTATCTATGTTGCTATTCAAGCAAACATCGTCAGAAAATGACTTAATGCGTAAATCAAGAGGACTTAATTTATCAAGATCCTCAGTTTCTTCACTGCAGTCCAAATTATTTGATTGTACTGAGTGGTAACAAGAAATGATTGAATTCTTACTGTTACATAGTCCTGAAATATAGTTAAATCCAAGTTTTAAATCAGTTTGTTTACTATTATCTACAGATTCTTTGATATTTTGAACTTGGTTTGGATGTTCACTAGTGAAAATGGAATTATTTTCTGTGTTAAATTGTTCTGAGCAATAATATTCATTTTGTCCGTAAAGATTTCTTGTCGGGATATAATTCAATCGTCTTGGTGTCGATGAGGCTTGTACACGTGATCCCAAGACAGATTGATCTTTTAAAGTTAGATCCAATCCACTGTACGTTACATAGGCTTCATCAAATGGAGAATTTGTGCGGTTCATTTATTAGTGAAAGTCTAAAGTATTTGAAAAGATAAGATTTTCGTTAACAAAATTATATAGAGGAATTTGAAGTGATTAATCAGTATAGTGCAAAAGTTTTTTTTAGAAACATTGATCCTCTCCGTGATTTAAGTCGACTGAATAACTAATGTATGTTGGGAAAACTACATATTGATAAATTCTACTTAATTTAGCTTGTAAGTCATGATGCGAATTCTCGTATCAAAATGTTGATAAGTAAGTGGCAACAACGACATATTCATTAATATAAGTTGTGTAATTTTGTAGTTTTGCATTATGACATGATTTTCGTAAGACAACCATTCAAAAACAGAAGGCAGCTAAACAGCATAATATTTTTAGTATGGAACTTTTCAATAGTGGATTACAGTTCTATTTTCAGTCAACTGGCAATAATGCAGGAAGTTAGTCTGTAATTTACAAGTATCATATATTCTTAAATACTGTTACACTAACTTCTATTTATAGATAGGTGTGCGAAAGTTAGACTTCAACTCCTAGCAACGTGGACTGATAAAACATAATAATTTATTTTTATGTCAGTGTATATCAACAATAATTAACTGTAGAATCTATAATCTTTCCTCATACTTTTCTGTAATCTACTAAATGATAATCTATGCATAAGTGAACCCAACTAATCTATTATAGAGTGGCAACGTACGAATATATTCGTTACCTTATGATGGCTGTCCAACTAGACCAAAAACAAATCGACTAATTCTCTTTACGTTTGTTCTGCAAGCCAATCAATCCAACCCGCATTTTTTTATTCAAAAATAAAAAAAATCATTAGCATTATTATTTAGTCATGTTCATCATCGTCTGCAAAGCTGCTGCCGACTTTCACCGAGTAAAACAAACAAGGTAAATTAGATCATATAATGCAATGAACTATTATCCACTGTTAACTGGATATTAATAGATAGGACTACTGACCCGACACATGCCTATCAAAATGTTGTGCATAAAATTACTATCATATCAGCTTTTAACTGGTATCAGATAATTTAAAAACTAAAAAGTCTCTTCTGGGAATAGAAGAAAAAAACGATAATTATTTTTTGGTAAGTTAACTGATATATATATATTTTGGTCGAGCGTTTACTAAACAGTTATCCTATCGCATTTTCTATACCTTTAAGATTCGCAATAATACTGATAATCAGTTATCTATAAATAGGCTGCTTACATTTCATAGAAAAAGTCTCGACTTTATATTTAATTGTATTATCTCTAACTGCATAAATTGTTGATCTAAATAATAAACGAACACTATAATCATTGGTCTGTTTGTCCGATTTTCGAATTAGAAGTTTGGCAAATTGAAAACCCGCTTAACCTGTTGATCATGTGTGAAGTGGAACATGGTAACAAAGTTGATGAATCCCTTATTAGTGGCATAGAAAAACAATATTGCAGTAGAGACGATATGTGAATCGTAAGAAAACAAAGATTCGTTATCTTTTTCATTTATTAGTATTATTATTGTAGACTAGAGTAAAGCCAGCTCATTACTTCAATGAAATTCTCTAGTCCTATCAATGCAATAGTGACAATTATCATATACTTGCTAGTGACTAGTTTCATGAGGAGATTCTTAAATTTCTAATAATAAGCCATGATCAGTGGAGTTCAACCGTGTCAAGTGTGAGGCAGTTACCGACCGAAGACACAAGATAATGGTCGCCTAATATCGTGGATTGGTTCAAGCTAGACATTAACACCGTTGGATGCTGGCTCAGTGGTCAAGTGGGTAAGCATTAGAGCATGTGATCGAAGGTCTTCGGTTCCATTTCAGCTTGCGGGGTCGTATCTGCGCAGTGTTGATTCGTTCCATACTAGGACGAAATGATGCCCCAGTACTTCCAAGTTATCAATGGTGGTCTAAGACTGCTTTGTCCATGAGTACAATGAACACATTATTGTTCGTTCATGTACTGTTCTAATAAATAATTTCTGTTCTATCTGGGTAGTAGTGAAACTATATATGGTGACGAAATCACATTATTAATTAAATTCATGCTAAAAGATTCGTTAGATATCACGATTGGTAGTAATGTTTGTATATGTCATAAATCTCTGAATATTCAGTAAGAGAGAAGATATCAACGGAACTTATTCTGTGAAAGCAGATCTTACGAGAACAAATAAAGAACTAAAAGTGATGTTTTGAGTTTTTTAGTCATTCTAATTTTAGTTTTCACACCATAATCATTTCTGACATATGAATTTAGTTTAAATTGAAATACTAATGATACAATAATCAAATCAAATAGCAAATTATTGTCTGCATACCTTTAGTTTAGCTTCAGCTTATACAAGCAGAATAATTTCCCCTTTTATTTTTTTTGTATATATATGGCGAAGCATATAGGTGATGTATCGTTAGAGATTATCAACCAATCAACAAATAGGAAAAGGAGTGAAATTAAATTTCAATTCACCAATCAAATGCGTAGATTTTATTGGTTGGCTTGTTAGTGACAATTGGGGAACAAGGAAGGGGTGAGATAGTTTAGTTTGAGGTGGATGTAATGTAAACGATATCGGGCACTCCAACTATGGCATTCAAACTCTACTATAAGAACTCGCAATGCCTGACGAATGCCATTTTTCATTCTTTTCACACAATTGGTTTTTTAACCGATATTCCAATATCAACTAGTTTGTATAGAAATGTTGAAAATAAATAGGTAGAAAGCTTTCTATGTCTGAAGAAATTGTGAATGATCTCGAACGTTCTCGTTTAAATATGGTCATCCATATAGCACGAATTACTGTCACGTAGTAGATATAGATCATATCTATCATATTTCAGGAACTGATACTTTGATCATGGACACTTAAAAAGTCCAAATGTTTTTAACATGAACGACAGTGTTCTAGTTATTTATACATAGTGGTAAAGGTAGATTAAGCTGTGTTTAACTTCGTTCCCTAATAATACTATTCAGAACAAGCCATGTATGTTACTTGGCTGAAGCTAATAACATTCTAAACTTAACGATATGAAAGTTCAAAGACTGGTCTAATGCAAAATTTAATTTTTATTTTCATATGAATAATGAAAGTCTTGTAAAATTAGTAACATAAAATCATTGGAATATATTTATTGTGAATCTATCGGTGAAAAGCCAAAAATTATTTAGCCGCCTTCAGAAATAGAAATAAACGACCGTTTTCGTTCTTAAATTTTTTTTATAGTTTCCAATGTATTATGGCATTATTGTGCATGCAGATTAAGACTAAACCTGTGTTTTTTCTTAAAATTATCAGTGTTTAGTTGAATGCTATTATTTCCATGTAGTGATCTTTTGTTGTTACGAGGTCCTCCAAAATTTTCTGTGCAAATCCATTTGGTTGGTAGGTTGCGTTTTTCTATTGGTCATCATGCACTAAATACCGAAAGTTATTTTTTTTACATTAAATCAACAAAATATGACCACGCGCTCAGTCATAGATTAAAGGGTGGTTCAGTTTGTCAGGAAAATTCAAAAAAAAACATCATTATAGTGACATTAATATGAAGTTATGTTTGGTTATGCTTTAAAATGCTCTATTTGTATAGATGCATCTACGTTTAGATGAAAAGGAGTAATGAATGCATAAAATTTCTCTTGACCGCATTTGAGGATTAACACATAGTAAGGAACATTTAAGGCTCGTTATGTTTACTGTATATAATCTATTCAAATAATCGAATATGTTAATACGTCAATTGGAAGTGTACATCGAAACATATATACTAGCATGCAAAGGCATAATGAGATAAAAAACTGGCCTTATTTCTATGGAAAATAAATTTACTAAATGTAAATAGATTTTCTCCTCACAGTCCCATTCCAAATATTTTATACAATTAACTTACATAAGTCAGGATATATGAATAACTTGTTAAATATTTAAAATTACTGCCTTTAATACTGTTTATTTCATGACAGTTTTTACAAGTTATTCGGCGTACATTGATCATTTTTCAACTGGTAGGTCAGCAAAAAGAAGATTTTTTTCTGTCCCATTATGTCTAATTATTAGTGGGAAAATTCTATCAACAAGCAAATAATTCAGTTAGATAACTATGAAAGAAGAAGTGAATCGGATTCCAGATTACACACTGTTCACATGATTCATTGAAATAATAATAAATCTTGTTGTTAGTGATAAACAAAATAAGAAAAGCCTGTACACGTGTAATCTAGTTTATTATTATCAGGTTACACTGGTATTAATAAAGCGATTTATACAACTCATACAACAATGTTGACAAGTTTTTATCAAACAGAAGTGTATAATTACTGACTTATGAATAATATTAACTATTTGAATAAGATTGATGTTACTTCAAACCAGAAATCTTGTGAACAAGATACACATGGTATCATGATTTTATCACGGAACAGGAGTTGTTCAGTAAACATCAAGAGTTTTCAATATTTTTAACGTGATCGAAAAGTAAATTGCTTTTTTTTTAATTGTCTTCAAACTAACATCAATTCACTTGAAATCTTCCCACATAGATCTCATTTCATGACTCGAATAGAATGGCGTTTAGTGTCAACTGTAGAAATAATTCGTAGTTTTTTTTCAGGTTATGAGATAGTATTTTATAAAAAAAGATTAGATTAGTACAGGCGAAAAAATGTTTTATGAATAATGTTACTGTTAAGATGATTGATATTTCATTTATGTGAGTTAATTTCATTGATATTGTTTTCAACACAAAAGATTGATGCTGACTGTTGTCTGATGAATAATTATTACAAACATTACAGACAAGAATTAGGTAAATATTAATAACAGACGTGATTGTCAGATTAAAACATGTTCGATTTTATCGATTTATGGAATAAAACATGCAGGACATTATTCAGAGTGTTAAATTTCTATGACTATTATTATAGATGAAAGAATATGTTAACGAACAAAAATGGAAGATCAGTAAAAGGCATATAAATATCTAGATTGGGTGGAAATGA